GACCTTCTACAAAGCACTTTACCTAAATCTCAACTTGTTCATTTCTAACATGGTAATGTTACCTGCTCTACCTATTCGACATGGCTAGAGTATAAATAAAATAAGAATATATGTGAAAATGCTTTATAAATTATTCCCTAGTAAATAAACAGAAAGTATTAAACAAAGCGTACATATTTCTCTTCTCTAAGGCAAAGCTTTCCAAACCCATGTGCCAAGAATGGATTACAGATGTACTGAAATATTAACCCACCTCTATCCCCCCCACCCGCCCTCCGCTTTTAGGGAGTCAGGGAGGGCCTGATTATAGTCTTCCATACAAATATAATCATTTTTTATCTGTGCCACAATGCCAAAAGTTTGGAAACCTTGCTCTAGAACACTACTATCTCATGCTAGCAGAAACTGGAATTGACTTACAGACTCCCTCTTCTGGATGACTTAGAACTCACCAACAACTCTGCTGCTCTTAAGATTCTGCTCCAAAAGCAGTGTGTCACCATTCCCCAAAGGATCAAAGAGGATCTAGCATGAACATGGGAGCTGCTAATTCAATGCTTTCATAGATATACAAAAATGAAACAAAATAAAATAAAATAAAAACTCTTACCTTAGGTAAGAATATGACAAAGATACTACCACAAAAAATTTGAGCAATTACCAGTTTTACAACTACTTTGGAGCCCAAATATTCTTTTTTTTTTTTTTCCCTTTTGTCTTTTTTCGTGTCCGGCAACGGATCGCAACCCTCGGTGCTGCGCCCACACCTCGCTCAGCCAGTGAGCGGGAACCGGTCTGTATGTGGGATCCGAACCCTCGGCAGGAGCGCCGCCGCGCTCCCAAGCGGCGCACTGTAGCAGTGCGCCACCGGGCCAGCCCCGGGGCCCAAATATTCTAAAAATTCTTTTTGGTGGCAAATCTTTGTCTTTTGAAAGAAGACTTAATTTTTTTCCACATACCCAAAGTTATCCCGATTCTAGTGACAAAGCCAGGCATAAATTTTTTACTTCTGAAGTCTCAATCTGAATTGACTGTAGTACCAAAAATGGATTTCAAAGCAGATTGCCTACTCTGAAGAACACTGTTCACTTAAATAAGTACATTTGTTAAGGGGGAGAGGGGGAGGCATTTCATAAAGAGACATGTGACACCAAGGTCAAGTGTTCAGATCGTTGTATCCGCTAGCTGCCCGCCCCCCAAAAAGAAACGAGACCTTATATTCTTTTCCCAGGAGTCAAATGCTAACAAGGCTAAGTAACATCTGCCTATGCCCATTCTACAACAAAGGTTTAGAAGAAATGGAGAAGGGAATGAGAGATTGAGAAATTGTGGGGGATGGGGGGAGAAAAGGAATAGAAAGAGAAAAAGAAAATATATACTTTTGTACAGAATAGCTGAGAATCTATAAGTGCTGTTCAGTGGCTTCCATGATTGCCTAAAGCTAGTAATGACCAAGGATAACAAGATTATTTTCAGATCATTTTGTTTTATACTCTTTTTCATTCATCCTAGAAGTAACGCTGGTATGTATCTGACTTTCGGACTTTCACGATCCCTAAGTCATCATCTTCCTATTATGTGAAACGACTTAGTTTCCAGTCTATATGAATATTGTTAGTTTTTTATTCACAGCCTTATTATCTTAATTTCCCTGTTGAATTTACTCCTTCCTCCATTCCAAATTTACCATTACTTTCAGACTCTTACAATGCCAAGTTTATTACTTATAACCTTTATTCTCACATTTTCCACTCCTCATATGTCATAACACACACACACATCCCTCCCTCACAGACATATCCATCCCCATGGGAAAACCTAACGACTATCATTCCATATGCCTCCTCCAAATTCACTTCTTTCTATTTTTCAGTATGATATTCAACCAGGTATTCATCTGTCTAGAGTAGTAATCTGCAGTCAGACAACCTAGGTTCAAATGTGGGCTCCACCAGTGTAATTCTGAGCAGATTACTTTAGCTTCAGTTAGCCATTTAGTTTCAGTTTCACCATCCATAAAAAATGGGAATTTTAGCCACTTAATAAATTTGCTGGAAAGATTAGATGAGATAATCATGTAAAAGCACTTAGCATAATGCCTGGCACACAGTAAGCAAACAAATGTAATTGTTGTTACGGTGTTTGATATAATCTGTCTTCTGAATCTGTCATTACCTTAGGAGGAAACTAAAGGGTTATTCTGACTGCTCCAAGTGAGGATGCTAGACAGAGGGAAAATTATTTTATTTTGTGAGGAGAAGACACTGGTTATTTCAAATACGCTATGAAGAGCTACACAGGACTCTTCAAGTTCTAAGATTCTATGAAACGAACATCAAATCTTTAGAAATTCAACCATCAATCAACAAACACTTCACAACCAAATCAGTAAGTTCAAATATGTACTCTAATATTTATATTCAGCTTGGAAGGATACTAATTCACAAGAAACAATCATTAAAATATCTAATACAGAATGGAGATAAGCTTACGGACCACATCACTGAAACATCTCATTTGCCCTTCCCAGCAAAGCCTCAGCCCAAGACAGATGCCTCCAGTGAAAAACAAGAAAATGAAAAACAAAGTATGACCAAAATTTAAATTTCTTACTCTGAACTGCACAGTTCAGAGTCCGTATTTAATACATATTAAATAATAGTAGCATCAGTTTATAAATCAACTGCTAACAAGGCTAAGTAACATTTGAGCATTGGATCTTCAGAGCATTGGCCACAGACAGCCATCCCTAAAGAGAAACCTCAAAACCACAAATCAGGAACTAAATAAGTAGGCAGTCTCACTTCCCTCTCTAAGTCTAGGAAAGGAATTTAGAAATCCTTAAGTTTTTAAATAGTTAGAGATTTCAATATCAAACTAGAATCCCTGCATTCTACTCTCCTTGGCCCCAAAATAAGTCATTTACAATTTGGAAAAATAACAGCTCTGCAAATAAACTATTCTCACTAAGTTCAACAAGACACTGTCAAAGCAGTAGTTTTTAATCCATCAGCAGTTTGTATCTCTCCTTTCAGAATTTAATAAAAAGCACTCAAACAAAGCTTGGCATGTAATTTCAAGGGTAGGGATGAGGACCAAGTCATGACCCCGGATTAAGGCAAATGAAAATCCAAAGAAAACTAATTTATCAACTTGAAAAGGAACCAAAGTAACTGAAGCAGGGATTTTAATCCAGACAATAAAATATTACAAACATTTTCTTTTTCTTTTTCTTTTTTTTTCCTTCTTATTTTAAAAGATGACTGGTAAGGGGATCTTAACCCTTGACTTGGTGTTGATCCAAACCTATGGCCTTGGTGTTATCAGCACCACACTCTCCCGAGTGAGCCACGGGCCAGCCCCGAAACATTTTCTATTTTAATAATCTGTATTAGACTTAGTGGTTGGGAGAGGTTGTTGATCACGTTGAGCAAGAAAAACAAAAAAACACAGGAAAAACGGAAGAAAAGTAGAACCAAAACAGTACTAAAATATAAACTGGCTGTAGTCGCTCAGAGAGAGCAGCAATGAAACGGCAATTCCTGCAGACTAAAGAGGGCTGACTTACTGTAACCAATTTTGGTGCCCATTTCTAAGCCAATGAAGTTAATTAAGTGGCAAACGTGAACACACCCCTGTCGGTGAAAGCACAAGTTTTTGAAAAATCCTGCAAATCTCCCATTTTTTCCTTACCAAATAAGAACCGAGTTAGAGAAATTTAGGAGAAAACGAACGGAGGCGGGGGACAGAAATCCTAAAAGGGCATCTAAAGGATCTGCAGGAAGTATAAAGTACAAACTTTTTGAGATCAAAGGGCTCAAGAAGGAGATAAGAACAAAACAAAGGAAGTAATAATAAAGTAAAAGGGAAATGCGTCTAGAGTCTAAAACACTGTTAAAAAAACCAAAACGAAACGAAACAAAAAAACCTCTTTCTTTTTCCTAGACACGTAAACAGCAGTAACCTTGCAAAGAAAAACGGACCAGAAGACAACAGCACAACTCTCTTCCAAAACTCCAGCATTTCTTGGACGTCCTCACAAGCACAGTCAGACTTGGGACATTTCACAGGGAAGGCTCCTCCCTGCCCCGCTGCCAGATGAAACTCTCCGAGGGACTATCACTATCTCCCTTCCTCTCACTGCGGAAGAGAGGAAGTGGGAGATGCAGGGAGAGGAGGAGAGAAATAAAAGCTGGACACCAAACCTGAAGGTGGCCCACTCCGACACTTAATCAAGAAAGATCTGGATCCTGCAACCCCTTTTCCCACCCAATGCAAGCAAAGTCGAGAGGGTCCCGCCCTGGAAGGGCCAGTACTTCCCCTTCACTCGACTGTTTCGGGGGCGCACTCAGAGGGAGAGGAGGAACGAAGGGGCAGAAACCAAAGGCACAATACTTGGGCAGATAGGGCACAGACTAAGGATAGAAGTGACCTGTAAAAGTCCGGAACAGCGAACCCAGAGGCAACGTGTCCGCCCCGCCAACCACCTCAAACAGTCTTTCCCCCGCCTCTTCCCCGGCGGGCCCGCTCCGCCCTCACCTGTCTGCTGGGAACCCGGCAGCTCTCAAGTCGAGGATTATCCCTGCCTCTGCTCTCTCGAATCGCCTCAACCCCGGCAAGAAGTGAACGGAAATGTGACCCGGACCTTCTCCTTCTTCCCCTCCCCCCACTCACCTCGAATCCTCAGGGGCGGGGAGCAACTGCAGCTGTCACAAGCTCACACTGACCAACCGCCGAGGACACTCAGCCCAGCGACCTCTCAAGCCGGCCTCCAGAACCAACCGCAGGAGCACCGAAGACGGAAGTGAGGAGACCGGAAGTACTGTTATCCTTGGCCCTGGACGGCCTCTCTCTCCCTCAACTGGCCCGGCCCAGCCACGTCTCGATGGTGCCAGCGCGCCTCCCACGAGGCTCCCTCAGCCCCTCTCCCTCAGGCCGGCCCAGCCCCTCTCGCCGCGGCCTTAGCAACCACATCCGGGACTCCGCCGGCGCCGTTGCCCGGGTAATTTTCTGGCTGAGGCCTCGTTAGAGAGGAGTGTGCGCTCGGGACCTGAGGCTCCAGCCAGCGTTGGGAGATTGCGGAGAGGTGGCCCGCCTGGTCTTGAGTGGTTGGAGATCTCCAGGAGCCCACAGCTTTCCTTCTTTCTCACTCACACACTCCAGCCTCACTTGTTAGGCGTCCCGCCAACAGACGATGAGGCGGTGCCGGAAGGATGAAGGTGGACGTAGCTCACCGCCACTCCACCGCAGAAGAGCCAAAGCTTGTTTCTCAGCCAGCGGAGAGCACGAAGGTTATTCCAGCCCCGCGGGGTGGGGAGGGGGGTGGTGAAGAGAGTGCGGAAATAAGGGAGCTGATGGGATGGGGACGCCTCACCCTCGCTTCCCCAGTGACCCCTCCGGCCACGTCTTGCGCCCACTCCCTTCCGAGAGACTAGAGACCAGAGACCCGCACGCCCGGCATCCCTGAGCTCTTGTTACTTGCTGTCTTGATCACTTTCTGCTCTGCTCGCTCGCTGACAGTGGATCCCTAATACTTTGCTTTCTTGCTCCTCTTTCTTTTTCCAGATGACCGAACTCTGCTCTCTTTGCTCTCCCCATTACTTAAATCACCGTCCTGTCTACAGAAACCGCTGAACGGTTCTTTCTCTCAGAACCTTTCATAGTTTCCTAAATTGAGGCCCCAACCTGCACTGCGGGTCCTCTCCTCATCCCCAGCACTGAATGGTGGGAAAGTGTGGCTCTGCAGTGGTGGTGCTAGACGTACCTGACGCTCCTTTACATACAGCACGTTCAGTTGGCCCACCCACACACCCATTGACAGCCTTGGATGCTCATTTTTACTCCCATTTCGCTTGTAGAAATGTGAAGGGTAACTGTGCACATAATGGGCTTTACCCTCTTCTCACCCACCTTGTCACATTAGCTGACAAGACTTTTTTTTTTTTTTTTTTTTTTGGACCGGTAAGGGGATCGCAACCCTTCGGCAACCCTTCGCCCGGTGTGGTCTGCAACCCTTCGGCAACCCTTCGCCCGGTGTGGTCTGCACCACGCTCAGCCAGTGAGCCCACTGGCCATCCCTATATAGGATCCGAACCCGCGGCCTCTGCGCTACCAGCACCACACTCTCCCGAGCGAGCCACGGGGCGGCCCTGACAAGACATTTTTTTTTTCTTCCTTTTTGTCTTTTTTTATTTATTTTTTTTTTTTGTCTTTTTCCGTGTCCGGCAACGGATCGCAACCCTCAGTGTCGCCTCCGTACCGGACCGGGGACCGGCAACGGGATCGCAACCCTCGGTGTTGGGTCCGCACCCCGCTCAGCCAGTGAGCGGGAGCCGGTCTCCACATGGGATCCGAACCCTCGGGCGGGAGCGCCGCCGCACTTCCCAAGCGGTGCACTCATCCAGTGCGCCACCAGGCCGGCCCCCTTTTTGTCTTTTTGACAAGACTTTTTTTTTTTTTTTTTCTTCCTTTTTGTCTTTTTTTATTTATTTTTTTTTTTTGTCTTTTTCCGTGTCCGGCAACGGATCGCAACCCTCAGTGTCGCCTCCGTACCGGACCGGGGACCGGCAACGGGATCGCAACCCTCGGTGTTGGGTCCGCACCCCGCTCAGCCAGTGAGCGGGAGCCGGTCTCCACATGGGATCCGAACCCTCGGGCGGGAGCGCCGCCGCACTTCCCAAGCGGTGCACTCATCCAGTGCGCCACCAGGCCGGCCCCCTTTTTGTCTTTTTGACAAGACTTTTTTTTTTTTTTTTTCTTCCTTTTTGTCTTTTTTACTGACCGGTAACGGGATTGCAACCCTCGGTGTCGCACCCGTACCGGGGACCGGCAACGGGATCGCAACCCTCGGTGTTGGGTCCGCACCCCGCTCAGCCAGTGAGCGGGAGCCGGTCTCCACATGGGATCCGAACCCTCGGCTCCCGCCGCGCTCCTAAGCGCCGCACTCTCCAGTGCGCCACAGGGCCGGCCCCCTGACAAGACATTTTTAATGACTAAGTGCCCAAAGGCAGAACTCTGCCTCTGTAAATTTCCAGGGAGTTTCAGTATAGTGAAATACCCCTGACAGATACCTTCCCCAGATCCATGAATGGTAAATACCTATGACACTGCAAATATTTCAGACGTAAATAACAATATTGTCTGATATCTCCAGGATACCACCTCTTACAAAAATAGTTCTGAAATCCCAACACATAAATCTGTGTATAAAGGGCCCTTCCTTATCTTAAATAACTCTGTCTTTAACAAAAGAAAAGAGCAAATATATATGCCAACTCACTCAAACTGTAACTGCCAAAGGGCTTACTGTGGATTTTTCTTTTTTTTTTTTTTTTTTTTTTTT